AATGTTCAAAGGATTAAGGCATGCAGGATTATGATTCCCCCCCCCCCCCCCCCCCCAGGAGAAGTATGGGAAGGAATAAGAAGGTAGTGAAAGAACTCGACGCGGCGCAGATGAAAGCAGCGAAAATCATCCTAGGATGCTCCAAGCGCACAAGTAATGCAGCAGTGAGGGCAGAATTGGGGAATCAATCCCTGCGGTCGGGAAGAGACGCGCGGAAGCTGACATGGCAGTATCGCATGTGCGGGATGGGAGAGGAGAGGTTGCCAAGAATAGTATGGGAGGCGAAGTGGGCAAACAAAAAGAGGGGTAGACAACCCACGGAAGGGGTCAAGGTTGTAGAGGACGTATGGAAGGGGTTAGACATCGACGAAGATGAAACGCTGGAAACGGAGGGTCTACAGGGGTTCAAGGAGAAGATATCTGTTGCTTGTGCCGAGACAGAAGAATAGAATCTAAGGAAAGAAACCAAGGATAAGGAGGGTCTGGAAGTGTACGGAATGTTGAAAGAAGGAATAGGGTTCAAGGATTACCTACATGGACCATTGAATGCAGGGACAAAGCTTAAGGTCAAATTCAGGACCGGGGGCATAGGCCTTCGAGAACGTCGACGAAGACATAGGACGGTAGACGACGAAGACGACAAGTTCAAATGTGATCGCGGCTTCGAATGCGAAGACCGTGTTCATGTAGTCGCGGAATGTCCGTGGTACGAAGAGGAGAGGGAAGTGTACCTGACTGAGCTGGGAAAAATACAAGAAACGTACAGGGAGATGTTTGAGGCATGGAATAGAGAGGAGAGGACGGTAGCTGTACTGGGGAGTAGGAAGTGGTTTGAAAAGACGGGAAGGGATATCGTTAGGATAGACAGACTACGGAAGACATTTTGAGCCACCTTTGGCAAAGTAGGAAGGAACGATTGGCCATCGGTGATCGATCCTGTGGGAACAATGCTACGTCCTCTCGAGGACGCGTGGTCAATGGTCTAACCGCTAAGGCATGCAAAACATAACAGTACGCCCCCCCCCCCCCTACACACAGGAGCTTGCGGGCGAGGAGCCCCCGTCGAAAAAGGGCAAGGTGTGCACCGGCCCCAACTGCTGCGACGCGCCCTGCTGCACGATCCCCGGCAAGTGCACGCTCGAAAACTGCACCGCCGAGACCTGCATGGCCGAGGAGGACAGCGACGCCGACAGCGCCGTGCAGGAGGTCGGCGCTACCTTCGGATCGGGCCGTCGCCAGATGTCCTCCAAGGGTACGTAGTGTGTAGCTGTGTGTGTGTGTGTGTGTTTCGTAAAAGTACATTGCGCGCCAAGTTGGGAAGGTGCTGCTGCTGCTGCTTGCACACTCGCGGGACGACCGCGTGGCTACTTTATCCGGAGCCACCTTGGGTAGTAGCTGATTTGTTTTGCTTATTTGCTGTAGAAGTTCCGCGAAAGTTGAGCAGAAAATCTATTGCAGCTGCTGTTGGTCAATTGGGCAAGAATTACTGTAGCTTTCGCGCGATCCAGGTTTTGGGTTACCAACCACTGGCAGACGTACTGTGCGTAGTATATTAGTGACAGACATACTTAACGTCTGTCTCTAGTTCCGCCTCTTACACCCCCACTCTCGTCGTGTACCCGATGCGTATCCCCTCTCAATGTTGACATGGCAGCCACTGTCCAGGCGGGACCCCCGGATGGCCACGCCATGTGGCAGAAGCCTTCGCTCGACAAGGTTATGGACGCTAACAAGAAGTGAGTGATCAGGGTTAGGAGTGTCGAACGTCGCGCCGTGTCCATGCGAAGGTTGGATATTTTTTTGCCCTGTCACTTAAAACTGCACGTTGCTTTTGCCGCATGTCGTGGGCGTCATGTGTATCTCCGTTCCTACGAAAACAAATTGTGTTGCTAAAAACATTGATCGTAGTGTGTGGAAACTTTACTCGAAAAAATTTGTTCATATTTTTGCTCTCTCTGAGCAGAAGTTGGTCGCGTCAGAGGGAGGAAGGTACTGCTTGCTTTTTATGCCACCATCAGGTTTTGAGTCAAAAGTATATCAAAACGTTAATAAAACGAAGCGTGACACAAAGCTATCACTGCATGCTACATACAACGCCAGGTGGGTGGCCAACGTGAAGGCCGAGGACCCCGACTTCTTCAAGAGGCTGGCGTCCATCCACACCCCGGAGCACTTCTTCATTGGATGCTCCGACTCCCGGCTTTCCGTCGAGGCGATGCTCGTGAGTACATAGCAATACAATAGCCCGACTTTTTTTTCCCCTTTTTTTCCTCACAACCGCACCAAAAAATCCTGTCTTGGTTTTGGCAGATACGGGTGCGGAACAGATGAGCAATTAATTCTAGAGTGTATTGATGTTTCCAGAATTGTGGCAGACTAAACGCGCCCGTCGCTAATGAAGATCGTGGACCATTCCCGTCGTCGAGGTTTGCTTTTTCTCTCCTGGGGATTGACGTCCAGACACGCGGTGCAACCAACACCCAACCAAGTCAAACAGTGATGTTACCGTTCCTCACGTTTTTTGGTGTCTACTCAAAACATTTAACACGCCATCTCTCTCTCCCCCCCCCCCCCCCTTGCCTGTTTGTTTTTCTGCGTCAGGGCTGCGGACCCGGAGAGGTGTTTATCCACCGCAACATCGCCAACCAGTTTATGCACAACGACGTCAGCATTCTCGCCTCGCTCCACTACGCCGTCGACTACTTGGGGGTGCGTGCGTACCTACGCAGTTGACCTACCTTTTGAGCGCCAATTTTTTGTTGGGATGGTCTGGTTGGTTGTGATCAAACCTCTCTCTTTATGCTCGGAAGCAGACAGTAAATCGAAACCTTTAGAACATTAATGTTTTTTTGGTGTGAATGCACAGCTGGAGACGCGTAAAAGCGAAACAGCACGTGCGTGCCTGCCGGCGCACCGAGAGCCGTGCGGCGTATGCACATTTGTGGGGACAGGCAGGACACGGAACATGCATTAGTTAAACTGGCATCCTTTTGGCGAGAATGGTTCTTGAGAAATGAAGCGTGTCGTCATTGGCGCGCGTCATATCTTGTTCTAAATCTTCTATACCACCCCGATAAATGAAGCATAATCTTCTGTACCACCCCGATAAATGAAGCGTTGTCATCATTGGCGCGCGTTTCTTGCTCTAAATCGTAAATACCACCCCGACTGTGCAACATGCAACAAACAAAAACAGGTGAAGAACATCATCCTGTGCGGTCACTATGAGTGCGGCGGTGTCCGCGCCGCGATGGCCAACAACGACCACGGACTGGTGGAGAACTGGGTGATGGGCGTGAAGGAGGTGGCGAGGATGCACCAGGACGAGCTGATGGTGGGTGGGGGGTCACGGAGGACGTAAAAGAGCTTCTGCGTTGCACTCAACTCAAGACAATTGGTGTTGCCCAGCCTTACCGCATTGCTACACCGGGAAATGTGTTCGCTTTTGTGACCACGGAAGGCATGGTGTTGGAAAGTGCGAAGGTAGGTTGTCGAGAGCGCAGTCACAAAAGCGACTACTACGGTAACTCGACAGCCCTCCTCCGTACAACGAAGAGTGGAATGTGTGCTTGGTCACTGATTGATCGGAAACCTTTTCATGTTTGTTGAAGGTGGAGCTGTAATTCCGCATGTTTCCCACACAACAAAATTGTGGCTCGTTAGACGTGGAGCGTTACTTCCGTATGTTTCCACTTTATAGCATGTCTCGGCGTCTTACGTCCTTCGCAACGTGTTGGTTCCTGCAGGCCCTGGGTGACGACGAGCTTATCCACCGCCGCCTGGTCGAGCTCAACGTGCAGGAGCAGTGCGTCAAGGTGGGCATAGCATGAGTAGCTTTGGCTGTTTTTTTTTTTTTTTCGATGATGACCCCCCTTCGTCGACTCTCTGTGATACCCGTTCCGTGGCGGTGCCTGGTTGGTTCTTGCGCCCCCCTCTTGGAATAACTGTTGCCGCTGCCGTAGCTGTTCAACCGGTAGCCTTCTTCGCAGGGTTTTTTGTAAACATGTTGGATAAGGCATACAATCGGGGAAGTTGGGTTAGGGTTAGGGTTAGAAATAGGGTCTGCTTGCCACCTCCCTGTTCTATTTCCTCATAAGCTTAGCTTCTCGCGAAGCCGGTCCTGTCAACGCGCCAACGTACATCGTCTTGTCTCTTTGACGCCGTTCCGTTCCGTTCCGTCGTCTTCACCCCCTTGAAAAAAACATTTTCCCTGCCGCAGCTGTTCAACACCCCCATCCTCCAGAAGGCCCACGCCGAGAGGGGCGGCCCCCACGTCCACGCCGTGATCTTCGACATGGCCGAGGGGCTCATCAAGGAGCTCGATGTCGACCTCCAGGCGCTCGTGAAGCGGTGAGATGAACGAACAGAGGTTTCGAGGCCGGAGAGCAAGAAGACAAAAACGGCTTTTCTTAACGGTCGACGTGAAACCGGCCCTGAAACTGCTTGCTCCCTTGTGTTGAGATAGTAGGGTGGTGGCGATGTGTAACCGCCACGGGATTTGTTGGTGTGGTTTTATTTGGCGTGATTCGTGAGGGACACACTGGATGGAGCTGTGCGTGTTTCGACAGGCGGTTCCGTCAGACAGTTTTTTGTCATATGATCTTGAAGTTTCGTGTTCGATCCGTGCCTGTTTCGACCGATAGCTGCAAGACAGCTGCCCCCCCGATCTACTCCTTCGCGACGTCATTGACGCTCAATTTTTGGCCCCTTCCTCTCCTCGTCGCGAATCCACTCTCTTCAGGACCTCGCACTTCCAGTCGATGTACGACTTCTCCGCGCCCGTGGCTGCTCAGTAGCTTGGCGATTACCACGACGACGATGCGTTTCGTCACTGCCTTGTCAACAGCTGCTGTGGGCTGCTTCACGAAATATCACAACCTGAAGATGATCCCGAAGGCCAATGGCGCCGGACGTAGGCCTTTGGGTACAAGAAGGAAGAGACGTGCTGGTCTTTTGTTGTAGATTTTTCCCTTTTTACCACATGGGATGAGAAATCAAAGGAGTTGGTACACGGTGCTTTGCACGACAGCGTGAGTCCTTCAAATTCTGTTCGTACGGCAGAAGGTCAAATCCAGGTAGCGTATGCTGCTCGTTTTTTTGCGAAATCGTTCTGGCGTGCAGGGACACCTCCCGACGTGCAGGGACACCTCCCGAAGGAACTGGCCCAATAGATGCTTTACTCGCACACAACGCGTAGACCAGGTTGTCGATACTATAGAAAATTCTGGTAAATATCTACGCGGGCAGAATTGTTTTTTGCCGGGGAAGGGAAGCATGCGTTGTCGTTTGTGAAAAATCGCAAAAAAAGCTGTAGAGTTGACGATGAGGGATTCGCGTGGACCTCCTGCCTGTACATTCCATGATTTAGAGGAAAATTTACGATTCATATTCAAATTTGTACGACGAATGTTCCATCCTGCTTTTGGGTTGACGGCCAAGCAAGGAAGGTCGAGATATCCATGGTGATGCGGCACGATTACCCGATTATTATCCGTTAACTACGTGGGGTTGGTTGTGTTGACTTCTTCTGTCGTCCTCGTCCAAATCGAATCACAATGAACGAATGGTGACTGACATGGTGGATGAGCCGTCAAGCACCATGTTGACGATTTTTGGGAGCACATACCGGGGGTAATCAATCGTGTACACTTCCTACCGCCTGCTACGCACTGCATGTAATGTGGCATGCTGCAGTTGGCTCGGCTACAAGGTCCGTGGCTCCGTGGCTCCGTGGCGTCTTTACGCCGCGGGGAAAGCAGCTACAAGTACGAAACGCTTTGCTGTGTGTTGTAGATACTGCTGCTGAAGACCACAGTAGAAACAAGTTTTTTTTCGAGGATAATACCAACTGAACTACAGCGCATCTGGTATTCATTTATTTCTTTTCTCGGTGCCGCCCGTGTTTGTTTGCTTGCTACCTTGTGCTAAACCATCAGAGGTAAATCAAGTAACTTCACAACAATAAGTTCACTGCTGCTGCTGTTGTGCTGCTTTCACCCGGTCGGTGTGGAATAAATAATATTGCCTCGAAGAAAAAAACTCTACACGCAAATCGACCGTTCTATGTGGCCACATGTTCTTCGTTCTTCAGACAGTCGTTTCATCCTATCATAAAGTCTTGAGTCTATACCTACATGCATCGAGTGCGTGCAAGCAGAAACGATGGGGACGGATGTTTGTGCCAACCCGGAAGAAGCAAAAGAGCCTGGAGGCTCGTCAGCTGAGACTCGTGAGCGTTTGCCTAGGTATGTGCCTGTACGGGATATCCTCTGCGTTGCCCCTCAACAGCTTGGCTCGCTTGGCTAGGCCTGCCGCCTTTCAAGCTTGCCCACAACGGGGTGGGTATCACATCAACCATGGCGAAGAAGCGGAGGTACCGAGGAAAGGATGGCGGGGGCAAGCGTGGTGAGTTATTGGTGTTGTTGCGCTTGGCTCCCCACCACCGGGGCCTCACCTCGCATGCACGCCTATTGCGTACAAGGGCGCAAGCTGTTGCGGCCGGGGGCAGACCCCAGCACACGTAGGGACAGGGGCCGTTGTACTTACTCTCGTATATTTAACATCGACTACTCTTGTAAACAAAGGTTGTGCTGGAAGTGACCCCTCCGCCGCGTTGTGAATCAATCTTGGTGCGGTTCAGTGTCGTCGGCGGTGCACACGTGCTGTCGAAAACGTGGCATTTGAACATGGGTTTTTGGCAATCGGTCTCCCTCTCTAGCGCTCTCTCTCCTACTCGTACAGCGTATCCTCGTTAGTATGCATAGTAGTAGCAGCAGCTCCGTGGTGGATGTTGTTGTATATCCGGTAAAACGTATTGTGATACCTACAGTTCACGGTCAACATGATATGCCCACAGCTGTAGGCTTGGGAGAATCAAACACTATAGAGTAACCGGTTACTCCCGATTCTAGTGGGCATGTTATGTCGCCCGGAGAACTTGCAGGAGGTGCGGGCACGGGCGAAGAACCCCCGACTCGAGAGGAGCCCAGGGCGGGACTCGACGAGATCAGCAACAGGAAGGAGAGCCTTGCGGAGGAGAAGTTGGGCAAGATAATGGATGCCTTGCCTCGATTAACGCCCCGAGGCACCGCCCGCAGGAAGAACGGCCGTAGCGGGCGGCGGGGGAGAGTCAGTGGGGGGAAGGCACACCCCTTCCGGGCGCGGGTCTACCAACGGACCAAGCGCCGAACACCGGACGAGGATACGCCAAGGGAGCGGTGGGACTACCGGGGCCGGCCCCATCCGAGGAAGACGGCTCGCGTGGGAGCTCCCACAACAGCAGCGATGGTCCATTCAACTACGTCTCAACCACGAGAGCCCACATCCCGCGGCTTAAGCAGCTGGAAGCTCGAGCTTCGACGGCCACGAGAAGAACTGGCGGATGTTTGAACGACAGCCGAGATATCGTGGTGCAAGAGACGGATGACGCCGGTATGATGGACCAAGGGTAGAACCAGTCAACCTGGTGATATTGTCCACAATGGATCCAGTCAACATACCCCACAGGTTTCGGTACATGGCAATCTCTTGTACTCTACCCCTTGGTCCATCATACCGGCGTCATCCGTCTCTTGCACCTCTACATGCCCACCGGAGGCCGCCCCATCCTCCAGGTCTTNNCGGGGTCATCCGTCTCTTGCACCACGATATCTCGGGCTGTCGTTCAAACATCCGCCAGTTCTTCTCGTGGCCGTCGAAGCTCGAGCTTCCAGCTGCTTAAGCCGCGGGATGTGGGCTCTCGTGGTTGAGACGTAGTTGAATGGACCATCGCTGCTGTTGTGGGAGCTCCCGCGCGAGCCGTCTTCCTCGGATGGGGCCGGCCCCGGTAGTCCCACCGCCCCCTCGGCGTATCCTCGTCCGGTGTTCGGCGCTTGGTCCGTTGGTAGACCCGCGCCCGGAAGGGGTGTGCCTTCCCCCCACTGACTCTCCCCCGCCGCCCGCTACAGCCGTTCTTCCTGCGGGCGGTGCCTCGGGCGTTAATCGAGGCAAGGCATCCATTATCTTTCCCAACTTCTCCTCCGCAAGTCTTTCCATCCCGTTGCTGATCTCGTCGAGTCCCGCCCTGGGCTCCTCTCGAGTCGGAGGTTCTTCGCCCGTGCCCGCACCTCCTGCAAGTTCTCCGGGCGACATCACATGCCCATTACAATCGGGAGTAACCGGTTACTCTATTTAGAGTGTTTGATTGTCCCAAGCCTAGTGCTGCTGGATGAATAAGGCTGGCCCAGTAGGTAGGCGTGAAAAGATGTTGAGATGGTAAAGTCGTTGATTAGGTTGCCCTTGTCCAAAAGGGAAAGAAGGAGAGTGAACATCAGGCGGCAAATATCCGCTCCACACAACATTGGCAAGGAACTCAGAACTCGGAACATTACGCAACACGCCAACGATACAGGATACCGGGCACATCAGAAGATGCCCCGAAGATCTGCGCCCCTTCGGTCGCTTTGGCTCCAGGGTACAAACGATCGCACATGAGTAACTACATCAGTAGCCTTCGGAAGGATGACATAATCACCCTCACGAACACAGTCTGCCACGCGGTCGTGGCATGCCTTTGTTGGTCGTGCTGCTCCTATAAGACCGCCTTATGTAGCCACAGCACTGCTGCGCGTGGGCAACAGCAGCATTATGATGATAGCAGCAGTCCAGACTCCCCTGATAGGAATGCGTCTCGAGCACCGCCGCTGTGCCACAGCAGCAATGCACTCCCTATTGTGCGTTGTTGCGATGTCACTGTCTGGTGCTGGCTGTCAACAAGAATCAAACAACGTATGCATATGCATAGTTGTACATAGGTTGTATTGATAGTGTGCAAGTCCGGTGCTCTCTCCGTCATTTTTTGTGTTTTTGTTGTCATCTTGTGTCATGACTTCAAAGCAGCGCTTGCAGCATTCGTGTCGCATGCCTGCTACAAAACCCGGTCGTGAAGTAGTGTCGTCATCGTGGTTGCCGAGATGCCGCAGCAATCTCCCATAGCCCCGTAACGAGACAACAGAGTCATAAGAGAGGGAGAGACAGCGGGGGAAAGAGAGATACACACACAGGCGGACAGACAGACATACGAAATAGACGGACACACAGACAGGCAAAGGGAGACAGAGCGAAAGATAGAGAGCGCGGTCCCGGTCCCGGCGTCTTCTTTCCTTTTTTCTTCGCCATTCAGACGCCGCCATTTGCGAAAATGCGAGCCCCACAACCTAAGGTGTCCTTTCAAAGAAGTGCAATAGCATACCCACGCGAGACTGGACTTCTTTTTTTGTTACAGTGGGGGTTCCCGAATATGACGACCTGAACAAGGCGGTTGCTCTATGTAAGGCGGGTGAAAAATTGGCCGGCAGAGACGAAATATTCAAGTTGTTCTACTACACATTGAATAAGGCAGCCGCCCCACATTAGGCGGTTTTATCAGCTGCCCCGTCGCCGCCCTATTTGGGGGCCCCCACTTTTTTTTTTTTTTCCGGAAACGACACCCCACACGACGACTAAACCGCCGCAGACGATTCCTCCGCCCAAGGTCGAAAGGACAACGGTGGCGAGGGCGACCGTGACAAGCACCGGTGGAAGGGCGGCGGCGACGGCGGGAAGCCCTGGTCGCAGAGCTTCGTGCTTCGCAGCCGGCCGTTTGAAGCGTACTACCAGGTGACCGCTCACTTTTTTTTTTTTTCCACTGCAGAGAAAGAAGGCTTGAAACTCATGCTGTAAAGCCTTGGACGTAGGTTCTTCGATTGGGGTAATATCTCGAACGGTTGGTAATCTTTTGTGATTGTGTGTGTATTTTCTCTGGAAACGGTGCTCTGTTGTTGTTGCTGGTGCCGTTGTTGTTGTTGCAGTGTTGTGGTCGCATAGCTCTCGTTCGTGCCCGTAGTTGGTGCTGATCTTGCTGGAGATCTTGGCGCTGCCGTCAATCCAAACGGTGCTCGATGTGCTTGTGGCTGCATTTGTCGCCGATTAGGTCTCGCGAGACATTCGAAAATCCTGTCTCACCTCTCTCCCCTGCCCTCTGCCCGAAATTTTCGTGTGTTTGTTTCGCCGCGCGTATGCTCTGCGTGCGTGAACACGCCGCATCGCTCACAGGCCATGGGGATAATGCCCAAAGAGGAGTGGCCGGTGTTCATGAACACGCTCAAGGAGCCGCTGCCTGCTTGCTTCCGTATTCACTCAGACTGCAGCTTCAAAGACCAGTAAGTGCGCTTGACCGTGATTGGCTGACGCAGTTGCCATGATCGAGCGATTTTTCACGGAACCTTGATATACGCCTCCCCCCCATCCGCCTCGGAACCTGGCTGAAAACGCGGGATGTGACATCGATAGGATGGGTAGGACAGGGAGAACGTGTTTGAGCCACCTTCGGCAAAGTAGGAAGGAACGATTGGCTATCGGTGATCGGTCCTGTGGGAAAATGCTGGAGGATGCGCGCTCAATGGTCTACCAGCTAAGGCATGCTAAACATGGGTACGCCCCCATCCGCCTCTGCGTTGAGAGATGGAAAACCCGGGTGGCGTTCGTTTTCGACAAGCATGACGTTAGGTCCAACCGCGAAACAAACAACCTGCGTGTTTCAGTAGGTGCGGCCAAGTGAATAAACACGAAAACGGCTTGTGTTTCGGTTTATGTTTACGACAGGAGGCGTTTTCGATACGCATGGCGTTAGGTCCGACCGCGCAACAAACAACCTGCGGTATTTCACTAGGGGCAGCCAAGTGAACAAACACTTAAACGGCGTATGTGTGTGTTTCGTCTTGTGTTGACGACAGTGGACAAACAGCAGCGTCTTTGTTGTTGTGTACGGCAGGGTTAAGAAGCAGCTGTTAGAGCTGTTGGAGGCCCCGATGGTGATCGAGGGCAAGGAGGTCAAGGCGGTGCGAGAGCTACCCTGGTACGCCGGGGGGTTGGCCTATCGGCTAGGCTGCGACCGCCGCTTCATCAGGAAGCAGCCCCATCTGGTCAGTCAGTGTGCTGCTTTTGGGGGTCGCTGTCCCCCCTTCTTGCCATTGTGTTGCGCTATTTGTGCTTGCACTGTGTGTAGACCTATAAGCACACCAATCCTTTACAGGAGTCGTCGAGTTTTCATCGCTGCTGGCAGATTCGTTTCTAGAAGTCTCGGTGTCGACAATAGAAAATATTTTGTGCGTGTTTCGTTTTTGCTGGGTATTTTTTATTTTTCAGTTTGGGGACGCAACATATTCAATATCCTCTTATCACATGAATATATACTTTGTATGTATACTTCTATGGGTGTGTTAAATTAGGGTTAGGGTTTATTTGTTTGGTTTGTAGGTCTGGGGAGTATTTATTTTTCAGGTTTGGGGAGTACACATTCGGATATCATCGTTCCGTCGCACGAGGTGTAGATTACCATGGCGATATGGCCCTCCTTGGTGCCTCCCGCGTCCACGCAGTTAGGGATGACCATGAGAGGGAGGTGTTCGGACTCGGTCCGAAGAAGTGCGGACGAGACCCCATCGATGCGAAAAAAATAATCCAGCATAGGCCCTAGGGGAAAGTAGATGAAAAAGTTGCAGCGCAGACCCACGAAACACCTTTTTGCAGCATATGCCATTGGGGAAAGTTATGTTTTTGCGGCGGCGTAGACCCTATCCACACGAAAAAAAAAATTGCAGCATTGACCGTAGGGGAAACTTATGTTTGCGGCAGCGTACGCCCTATGTACATAATATCGACACGAAGGAAAAAGTAGCACCATAAGGCCCAGATGGAATGAATTTTTCCAGCGTAGGCCGTATGGGAGACATATGTATGCAGCAGGGTAGACGCTATGGCGACGAAAAAAAAAATCCAGCATAGGCCCTACGGGAAAGTCATGTTTGCGGCAGCCTACATGGTTAAGAAATGGAACGCCGACACTCAATCTCCGTTGAGTATGAAAGCACAAAAAAAATGAAAAAAATAAATAAACAGAAACTCACGTGAGCTTTCAGGCCGCGCTTCCGGCCCCGTTTCTTGAGGGTCTTCGCGACTTGTCGGGCGTCGTCATCGTCCACGCACGAGACGATCCGGGGCTTCTCGTCGTCGAGGTCCCCGATGGCGTCCCTCCGGAAGATGCGACCCTCTGCCTTGATGTCGGAAAGGATGTCGTATCCTTTGGTGACGGCGACCAGTCCTGACGTCTTATAATAAGATAGACGTTGGGGCGGAGAGGGACAGATGTAAATATGAATGAGTGGTACGAGAATCGATGAGCGCATGACGTGGAAGCGGGGCAGTTGGGCGGGTGTGGCGGGGGCGTAATGGTGGGGAGGGAGGTAACCCACAGGCCCGCCTTCACCCGCACCTCTAGTCGCGACACCCACATGCATGCTCATGACAATCTGAGGGCGACACGAGCTACACGACCTGGGTGATTTGTGTACTCGACGAAGTAGCGCGGATGCCGTTGTGCGGGGACGGATTGGTGAAAGGCCCGAGTACACAAAAGCGTATGCGCGTTCACACGAAAGGCCAACCCACCTTTTGGTCAAGGCCCGAGTACACAAAAGCGTACGCGCGTTCACACGAAAGGTCAACCCACCCATTGGTTAAGGCCCGCGTACACAAAAGCGTACGCGCGTTCGCACGAAAGGCCGACCCGCCAAGTGTGTTGTTGAGTACGTTGATGGAGATGCCGAACGATGACATCCGGCGCAAGCGTGGCGATGGGGGTACGCGATGAAGCGCAGGCGATGCAGGACAGAGTCGGAAGGAGGTAGTAGGCGACTTGTCGAAGAGGACGATCGTGCGTCGTGAAGAACGAAGACAATCGTCGTGTCTTGAACGGAGAGAGGCAAAGCAGCAGTGTGTGATTTTGGGGAGGGCTGCTGTAAGAGTGAAGTGGGGTGGGGACGCCAGGGCGGCGAAGTGAGCCCTTCCGCCGGCAGTGCTGTTCCATGATTTCGATAAAGTCACAGTACCCGCCCCACCACGTCCAAAGTGTGCCCGCCCGAGCCCGGCAGATTACGCACTGCAGGTTCGTCGGACATGTCCTATTGCCCTGTTGTGCTCCCTGTTGCAATGGATCTCAACTTTTGGGGTCGGAAACGAGACTGTCAACGGGACTGTCGTAGTACCCCTTGACTAGGAAGTCGTTCGACGGTTAACGGAAAAATACTGCAGGACGCAAATGATTCCTTCCAATTTACAAGTTCTGCCGCTCGGAATATTTCGTTCCGGGGATTGTGTGAGTGTGCATGTGTGCATTGTCCCGGGCACGGCGGGCCACAGCAGTTAAACATTAAAAATGGAGAACTTCTGCCGCTCAGAAATTATTCGTTTCCAAAAACAGTTGGAACTGCGGGGCGTGTGCGTGCATTGTCCCGCGCACCAAGGACCCTACATGTCACTAGTTCAATTTTCACAAGGTATGCCGACCGGAAATTATTCCTTCGAAAATTCATTGCTAATGTATCTTTGACTCTTTTCTTAGATAGAGATGGATTCGTTGGGTCATGTACGAAATAAAAAAGAAAGGTGGAACTCTGGGGCGTGTGTGTGCGTTGTCCGTTCGACAATTCATTCATTACTGATCTATGTTTGACTCTTTTCTTTGATAGAGAGAGATGGATTCGTTGGGCCATATGAACAATTTTGTACGATACTGTACCTATACAGTGATTTTGTGATTAGCACCTGCTGGCATCACTGACTGCTGGCATCACTGACTGCTGGCATCACTGATACAAAAATTTCAGTGTATAGGCTTAAAATGACTCCACATAAGCCCAGTACCCAGCCGGTTTCCCTCCATTCACCGCAAAGACTTCACCACATCCCTTTCGATTGTGATACTATCTCGAATGGGTAGTCTTTCTGTGTTTGTATTTATGTTTCCTAAAACAATAAACAAACTTGGAACTTCTGGGGCGTGTGTCTGCATTGTACCGTGCTCCGTACGAACGTAACGGGACCGTTTTCTTAGTTAGACAGAGAGATGGATCCGTTGGGTCATATGAACAGAATAAAAATAAATTTGAAACTCTGGGGCGTGGCGCTTTGCCACACGTAGCAGGTTCTACGAACCGCCCATCAATGCACCGCACGAACCTAACGGGACTGTGTAGAGACTGTGTAGAATTTAATTAGTCTATACAAACTGAAGTGAATTTGCAGTTTCCGACTTTGGGCAGACGATAATATAGCGATAGTAGTTATGCATGAGGTTTCACTGTGCACTTTTTTACCGCTCCCCGAAACCGTACATCCTACATCCTTGCCGGGCCCCTTTGTTTGAACCGACCACGTGTAATCACTACGAGGCCGACATCCGCGGGCCGGCACAAAGAATGCTACGCTACGTTCGGCACGTACACACGCATGCGTACGTATCCCCCGACACGTTCGGGAAGTCAGCAGGCAAACCGGTTGCTGTCAAATCAGTCAAGCGTTGCTGGCTTGCTGCAGAGCTCGATGAAAATTTCGTTCCTTGTCCACCGTCGTTGAAAGAATTAAAATTCCATCCCCAAAATCGTAGATCCTGCAGAACTTGCTCTCGGATGTTACCAGCAAATTGCCAAGTTTTATTTTTTTGTCGCCCCGCACAACAGTGGTATAGATCCTGCTCCCGAGATTGTTCTACCGCTGCCCAGATTGGTACATCCTTTCGAGGATTCTTGGACGGTACCAGCGTATCTGCGAGTCGAAGAAGAAGCGGTGTGTGTTTGCCGGTGCAGCGGCGACTTTTCGTGCCATGCTTGTGCCAGCAGCTTTACCAAAACGTGGGTTGGTGTTGTTTGCACGCAATGCGTCACTTCCTGTCGTCTATCGGCGCGATCGATCCGATGTCGTCAGGCGGAATTCCACAAATGGCTGACGGGCCTAATGGAGAGCGGCAACATCACACGACAGGAGGCCGTGAGCATGCTGCCCCCGCTCTTTCTCGACGTTCAACCGAAGCACTTGGTGAGAGGAAAACTAACATGTAAATCAGCGTTGATCTTCCGGCGCCTGTGGGTGTACTCATGTAAACCCTTGCCGTAGTCGTTAAGACCATTAGCCTCGCATCCTTACGATGCCGGGACGAGCGAAATATGCCGTGAGAGGGGGTTGGGGGGGGGCGACTCTCATGTGTTGCTGCCTTAGTTGTTAACCACTCGTCCTCGAGAGGACGGAGTATTATTCCCACAGGACCGATCACCGATGTCCAATGGTTCGGGGGGGGGGGGTACTCATACTCATAGTCGTGCATGCCTTATTATAGTCGTTTGGCCATTGACCTCGCATCCCTACGAAGCCGGGACGGAGCACGCCGCGTTCTCACCGGACCAGGCTATCACATCACCAAGCGTGAAGCGCCGTGAGGTATTCGGCGAGTCGCATGAAGTTTGCGCTGCATACTGCTAAGGGTGTTTGACATCTTGTGCTTACTTCCATTCGAGCGGATGACAGCTGCGTGTGACTTAGTTTATTTTCTGGTGCTTTCACTTCCAGAGACAGTTATAAGCACTGTGTAACTGCCTCGAAGGTGCTTGACCAGTTTAACACAACGTGGTGCGATAATCCCCCTTGCGCGGAGCGAGGGTTCTCGACCCCGCATAACATGATCTACTCGACCACCATTATGGTTACCGCCAAAAAAAAAAACAGAGGTAAAAAAAAACTGTAACCTGGTTGCCGAGTTCACGAAGTGAATCGGCTTGTTTTACAACGTCGTTGCCAAGCGACGAAAACCCAATCCCGATGGCAAACACAGAGGGGGGGGCATGTTTTACAACGTCGTTGCCAAGCGACGAAAACCCAACCCCGATGGCAAACACGGGGAGGGAGGGGGGGGGTCAAGCACATTCTTACGCGGCCCGTCATATGCATACTCCTTGCAACGGAGCAGGGGCCGAGGGGGCACGCGGTTGGGTTTTTGGGTTTTGAAGGGACCATGTAGTGTCACCGTCCTCCTGTGACGATGGATGATTTTGGATTCCTCCACGGGAATATACCATGGTATATTCCGTTATTTATCGTGGTATTTTCCGTTTTTGGCTGGGTCCGACGTGGGCTTGTATGCACACTGCTGCGTGGCTACTGCTTGCGGTGCGAGTCATCCCCGTGCGCGAGATACGAGAGAAGATTAAAATGCTACTAGAATGAATGAATTAGTAGTTTTTGTCCTGGGTTCTTTTTTCCATGGATAGAAAAGAGACGAATTCGTTGTGGTTCTGTAAGAAAGAAGAACAATAACGTATGATACCCCAACATTCCTGATCAACACAACGCCAACGCAGGCGATATCTTAGCCCCCCCCCGCGGTTCTTGCACGTTCTGATTGAACGAACACCTTCATCTAGGCACGTACGTGATCACGCGCGACAGAGAGAGCAACTACCATACTCCCTACACTCCTGACCACACCGAGAAAAATGCATCTCACGCCCTGATCGACGCAACGCCAACGTAGGCGACGTTTTTTGCGTACAATGAACACCTTCATCGCTCCACCCAAGCACGCGCGTTGTCCGTGCGCGCGAGAGGTGAGAGCAACTACCATACCTCCATGCCGCCACCGACAACGAATACCAGGTGCTCGACATGTGTGCAGCCCCGGGCTCGAAGACTGCGCAGCTGATGGAGATGGTTTCCGCTCCTTCCGCCACCGCCGCGGCGGCTGGCGGGGGGGGAGGGGGAGACGGCGGACCGGACGGGGAGGTGGGGTTGGTGGTGGCGAATGACAGCGACCGCGACCGCGCGTACATGCTGGCGCACCAGTGCAAGAGGGTCCAGAGCCCGGCCATCTGCATCACGTGGTGCTCAGCGCAGTCGCTGCCGAACCTTGGGGCCGCGGGGGCGGAGAGGGGCTCGGACAAAGGTGTGGGTGCTGCTGCTGCTGCTGCTGCTGCTGCTGCTGCTGCTGCTCGCGGTCGATGTTTGTCTTGTTTCTGTCTCTTGTGCCTCTCGTGGTGCCGCTCTGTAGTGTCTATTTGTCTGTCTGTCTTTGTGTGCCCTTCTCTCTCTCGTTCTTTTTCTCTCGTCTCTCTCTCTCTCTTTTTCTCTTTCGATTGTATCTCTGTGTGTCTCTATCTTCGTCTCTCCTTCTTGCTCTGTGTATGTGTGTGTGTGTCTCTCTCTCTCTCTCTCTCCCTCTCTCCCTCTCCCTCTCCCTCTCCCTCTCCCTCTCTCTCCCTCTTGCTCTGTCCCCACGCCACACGAACAACGAGCAAAAACACTCCTGTTGGTGACATACACGGCCACCCCCGCAACTGGCAACGGACAGTTGTTTGCTGACCAGAACACCACCCATGCTGAAACTCCCAACACCATCTATGCAGGCGTCTTCGATCGGGTCCTAGCTGACGTGCCGTGCAGCGGGGACGGCACTCTACGCAAGCAGCCTGCGATCTGGAGGACGTGGACAGTGGCCGGGGGCCTCGGGCTGCACCCCCTGCAGCTTCTCATTACCCTCCGCGGGGCCGCCATGCTCAAGGTTCGGCTGGTCGGATGCCGTTGTCGCTGTCGTTGTCGTGGTCGTTGTGGCTGGTGCTGTGGTGATTTTGCGGATGCCATTTGTTTTTGTTGTCGGTGTACCTATCGACGTCGTTGCTTGCTTGCTGCTGCTGTTGTTGTTGTTGTTGTTGTTATTGTTGTTGTTGTTGTTGTTGTTGCTGCTGCCGCTTCTGCTGGTCTTGCTTGTTGCTATTCTTGGTAGCTGCTGGTGGTGGTCTTGTGTGTTGCTATTCCTGGTTGCTCTCTGTCCGTGCGGCCACATCTTGTTCCATTACCTCCACGCCTTGTACCATCATATCATTTACCGGCCACCTACCACCGTCCATATCTTCTCTGCCCCCCAATTCTCGCCTTCTGCCCTTCCGTGCGCCCTCCCGGACCCCGAAAGATCGGTGGCAAGATGGTATACTCGACGTGCTCGCTAAACCCCATCGAAGACGAAGCGGTGGTGGCGGAGGTGCTACGGCGCTGCGGGGGCAACCTCGAACTGGAGGATTGCCGCAGGTACACGCTTGATCCGACTACAACTGCGGTGCCCCCGTTGTTGTAGAGAGCGGGTTCCGATAGATCATGGAGTGGAATTGTTCGGAGGGGTAAAATTTGCTAGTGAAACCTCTCAGAATTCGTTTATGTTTTTCAACGCCGTGGTATCGCGGTCATCCGTAGTTGATATGGCCCGCACCCACGGGACCGAGTTGGATAGCTTGATTACTCAACGATAAGGATACCAATATCAAATGATGATAAAAATCGTGTACGCATATGATGATAATATATTTCGTGGTTTCCTAGCATACTCTTGAGTCTACTATTCGATCTTCTCGTTGCAACACAAGTTACCCACATGGCTGCTGACGTGCTGTACCTAGCCAAGTACCCGTGGTATTTTGGCACCGCGCTTCGCCCCACTCGACGCCGTTCGTTCGCAACAACAAAGAGTCCGTCAGAAAAAATCGTTTATCTTCCTCGATTTCATCTCTGGGCCACACACTTTTCTGGCTGCCCAACGCATCATGTCTCTGCAACTCTCGGCGGCGTGGGGGGAGACATTTCGCAACCCTGCTGAGACATATCCCCCGCCCGGATGTGATGTAGCTGCTACCGTTCCCAGCCGTAGCTTCTCTACAGGTCGTCGTCCGCCTCGTAAACATCGTTCCTTTACGGGCTCTGGGACAAAGTCCATCACGACGACTTCATCCAGCATATTCCCTTGTCTGTGAAACGAGTCGGGACGGCGGCTTCCAACTCGGGCTCGGACATTTTCAGGATGTGGTGGACTGCCCTCGAAGGTGCGTGACCATCTCCAGGTAGCCTCCGCTCCGTATACCTGGAGATGATCAGGTACCGTCGAGGCCAGTTCCACGAAATTCCCGAAGACATGCCAAAAATGTCCGAGCCCGAGTTGGAGGCCGCCCTCCCGACTCGTTTCACAGACGAGGGAACATGGTGGATGAAGTCGTCGTGATGGATTTTGTCCCGGAGCCCGTAAAGGACGATGTCGACGAGGCGGACGACGACCGGTAGAGAAGCTACGGCTGGGAACGGTAGCAGCTACATCACATCCGGGCGGGGGATATGTCTCAGCAGGGTTGCGAAATGTCTCCCCCCACGCCGCCGAGAGTTGCAGAGACGTGATGCGTTGGGCAGCCAGAAAAGTGTGTAGCCCAGAGATGAAATCGATTAACGATTTTTTCTGACGGGCTCTTTGTTGCTGCGAACGAGCGGCGTCGAGTGGGGCGAAGCGCGGTGCCAAAATACCATGGGTACTTGGCTACGAACGGCACAAGCAACACATGTCTTCTCTTTGAACCCCTCTAGACCTTCCGTTTCCAGCATCATATCGCCTTCGTCAATTTCGAACTCCTTCCGTACGTCCTCTACAACCTTAATCCACCTCCGTGGGTTGTCTACCCCTCTTATTGTTTGCCCACTTCGCCTCCCAAGCTATTCTCGGCAACCTCTCCTCTCCTTTACTGCACATGCGGTACTGCCATTTCAGCTTCCTTGCGTCTCATCCCGTTCATAGGGATTGGATCCCCAGTTCTGCCCTGACGGGCGCATTATTACTTGTGCGCTTGGAGTATCCTAGGATGATTTTCGCTGCTTTTCATCTGCGCCGCCTCGAGCTCTTTGACTACGTTCTTAATTCCCTTCCCGCAACTCTAGCGGCGGTACGATTACGCTCTTCAAAACAGTCAAAGTGATGCGTGTATCGAGGTGCTGGTTAATCGGTCCTGGGGGGGGGGGGGGTTATCTTACGCGACCTATGGTAACACCAGCTCGAAAAGTTATTGCACAGGTCGACATTCCGTGAACTCAGCAACCCTAGACGCTCTGCTGTTGGGGGTGACCGCACGACAGCAGTAAGGAGCTCCACAGGGGGGCCTCGATTTTTTTTTTTTTCAAGTGAAAGCCCTACTGTTTTCGCCGTGTGGCACGATATGTTACGGCCGATTTCTCATGTACAGTCCCGGACGATGCTGATGGATGCCATCAAAGTGACGCGTAGCAGCAGTCTGTCTCCCCCCCCCCCGCATTTGGTCCCGAAATAACTATTCGAGCGTGGTTAACTGTCGAGGGACGGAAGGCTTGGCAGCATGCAGAAAATGGCTAAATAAAAGTCGCGAACGTTGCTCTGATGGATGCCATGAAAGTAACGCAGTGGTAGCAGTCTCCCTGCCAGGACTAGAGCGTGGTTTAAGTGTCGAACGATTGACGGCATGTTGCAGCATGGAAAAACATTAGCAAAAACCCTTGCCCGCCGCCGCTCATCCAGCACGCTTCCAGGCCTAAAGACTCGCCCCGGGCTCCACACCTGGCCCGTGCTCACCGGTTCGGCCCGTTTCAAGGGCGTCAAGAACAACCACCGCAGCAACAGCGGCAAGGAAGGGGGCGCCGCGGGATCAAGCTCAATCCCCCCGACCGGCGCCGAAGCAAATGCCGGTGCCCCCTCTAGCGAGGATAAGCGGGGGGGCGAGGAGGCGGCAACGGGTGATGGGGCGGCGGGAGGGGGGCAGAAGGAGGAGGAGGAGGAGGAGCAGGCCGGGGGGTTCACGGAGCCAGCGGTGGCTTCCGATGCCCCGCTGGAGGACGCGATCAAGGCCGGGCTTCGCCACCACCCTAGCTTCGCTGAGGTCGATACAGCCACCACCAGAAAGTGAGCATCCCTACTGTTGAGAAGCACAATGACCACTAGACCACCAGTCATAAATTCGGGCGCAAAGACATTTGTGCTGTAGGGGAGATTCGAACCCCGGACATTAGCTTATGTTGAGAAAGCACGATGGCCACTAGACCACCTGGCTAGACCACCTGCCAGGTGGTCTAGTGGCCATCGTGTTCTCAACACCTATACATGCACAAGTAGAGGTCTCTGTTTACCGGCGTTATACTGTACCGGTACTATTCAAACTACAGGAGATGTGCCGGTATGTGCCCAGAAAGTTCACTGGCACTATTCATAAAAATATCGAGAATGACCTTTGGTAGTTCAGTGTGTGTCCGCCGAAAACAATATACCGGCACTATACCGGGCACGGGCACTAGACAGGGGAACTCTACTGCATGCGTTTTGTGCCGTGCGTCTACTGTTCGGGCGTACCACGGTAATGTACTGGCAAGCAGGGAGTGCAGCATCCCGTCTCGCGTAAACCTACGCGCTGACAATGGTATGAATTCGGATGCGATTGTGAATGGTCCCGATGGTCCGTTATGTATTCTTTCAAACGGAGTGGTGTGTCGTCGTCTACACGTACTGTGCGTGTGTTCCTCGTCTAGAAAAGGCAAACACCTGCAGACAGACGAGAAACATCTGGTTGTGTCAGCAATAGCGAAACATGATTGACGCCCGTTTTCTCGTGCTCTCGTTTTTTGTTTTGTTTTTCTTGTTCTTCACGCGCGTGAAAAAATTGCACGAAAGAGTCGTTTTCATTCTTGCAACAACAACAACAACACACAACCAACAGCAACAAAAGCAACAGCCACCACTACAACAACAACAACAACAACAACAACGAAACAGGATGATCCCGAGCTTCTTCCCTCCTGACGAAGACAAGGCGAAGGCCCTGAGGCTGGAGCGGTGCATGCGGATGCTACCCCAGGATCAGGACACGGGGGGCTTCTTCGTGGCGGTCATGGTCAAGACCGGTCCCATCTTGTGGCAGGTCGGTAGCCGTAATCTTCGCGAGGACAATTTATTGAGTGTGTTATGTTTTGGGTGTTTTTAATATTTTCAGATTTGGGGACCCCGAAGACTAAAATGCTACAATCCTATCGTGGTTGATATTTTGGGTTTGTGTTGTTTTCGGCCTGCTGTTGGTTTGGTCGGCTTGTTGAGTTTTTGTCGCTCGTCCGTGCAGCAAACTAAATACACCAGCGACACCAACAACTCCTACATTGTAGCAGCAACAAAACAGCCCAATACCTTCGAAAGATCGAATACCGCTGTACCTTCAAAATGTACCTTCAAAATGCCAACCACACAAAATATCGAACACCTTCGAACGAACGCCTTGGACATGTCGGAACGACGCAGGACCTCATCGCCCCAGGCGAAGATCTCGCCGGGGAAGCGGGAGTAGACCCCCCTACCACCGCCGCCGCCACCACCGAAAGCGCAACACCATCGACCGCAGATGCCTCTGAGCCAGAGAAGACGCCTGCCAAGGTCACGGCGGCAGCTGGTGATGTACCAACAACGGCGACGGCAACCACGGGTGAGTTGTTTTGTCTTGTACGTAGCCTGTGGCCACGGGAATCGATCCCGTCAATTGTTGGACTAATACGGACAGAAGAAGGTACTGAGCAGAGAGAACGGAACGCTTTCTAATGTGAAGACAACAACAACATACGTACCTTTTTTTGTCCTGCTAGATGCTGTTGCGGTCTTCACTACCCACCACCGTACCACTTCTGTTTGGTGATTTTTTATCTCTTGGTACATACCTTGTGTTTGGCTTGGTACCTGTTTTCGTCGTGCTACAATACAATACGTTCTGTTCGCGTTCTTCACTACTGCCACCGCCTTTCCGCGCTGTTTGGAAAAATACCAACCGTTCGGATACTATTGTGATTGTCGCAGTGGTCCTGATATTCCCGAACAGACTGGTAGTTCGTACGAGCGTCGATGCGCTGCTACCCAGGTCACGGCGCCGGCTAACGCTGGCGTTTCTTTTTGTACCTTTTATTGTCTTGCTACCGTGTAGTTCTTCACCATTACCACCGTGCGGTAGTTCGCGCTGAGGCTTAGCGTTTGCCAAGCGTCATGTGTTGTCGCTCTGGTGTGCGCGCCGCGCACAACACTTACCATTGCCGGCAATGCTAGAGTGTAAACCGTTGTTGTTGTTGTTGTTGTTGTTGTTGTTGTTTTTGTTGTTTTTGAACTATCCTTTGAAAAGCGGCCATAAACAGGAATCCCTACTGCACCGGGCTTGTCGTTTATGCAGCAGCAGCATTGCCTTCGAAAACAAGCTTGTCGTTATGTCAAGCTCATCGTGTACCCTTGTGTATGTCTTACATGCAGCAGCAGCAGCACTGCCTTCCAGAAAAAAAAACATGTCGTTACACCAGGCTCATCATGTACCCTTCCTTGTGTCTGTCTTGCGTCCAGCAGCAGCAGCAGCAACAGCAGCAGACGCCATTACTCCTGCCACTGCCGCAGACGCCCCCGCCAGCGGACAGAATGAGGACCAACGGGCAGGCGGGGAGAAAACGGGGACCGGGGGGGGCGGCGGAAAGGGGGCCGGGGGAAGGGGGGGTACCGCTCGCGGGTGGGGGGATAGGGGCCGCGGGGGCGGGCGGGGCAGGGGGAGGGGGAGGGGGAGGGGGAGGACGAACGCAGAGCGGCCGCAAGACGCCGAACGCGAGGAGTACGTCAAGCTCGAGGAGGACCAGTGGCCTCAGGTGTGTTGTGTTGTGTTGTGTTGTGTTGTGTTGTGAGGTTGTGAGGTGGTGGTGGTGGTGGTGTCTGTTGCGTGTTGGTGTTACAATGGTGATGGTGATGGTGGTTGTTGGTGCTGGCCGTGGCGGTGCTGTCGTGGTGGTGGTTGTTGTTGTCTGTTGCGCTTGTCGGTGTGCATGTTTTTCTCGCAATATAGGCATGATGATGATAATGTGACGATCATCGAGATTACATCGTAGTACATGAGCGTCGTCTGCGATCTTTGCCCGAAGCGTCAAACGTGCGTGTTGACTTTTGCTACAAAACGAAGCAATGGCTGTGTTGTTGGTAGAAGCCCACACGCGTTGCTTGTGTGTGTAGTCTAACACACCGCACGAACAGTGTCGGCAGGTGTTTTGCACTGTATCGTCGAACGCACGAGGAAGATTTGATGACTCGCACACAACACTACCCCGTAAAGCCGTTTGCTAATTGTACAAGCCTCAAGCGCCTCCATACGTGTTTTCAACACCCACACGATGATCCCGCCCCTCCCCCCCCCCCCCCC